GGACTTGTTATAAATGATATAAAATTACATTTACACAATTTATGTGTTTGTTTGCACTTATTTTGTGCTATAAATAAATGCTAAACTTGTGATCTACGATAAATTGGGAATCTAAATTTGAGACCATCAAATATTGTTGAAACATTTTTATGCTTAGTTCACATAAATAAAACAATTTCAAATATAAGTTACATTAATAGTGAGCATGATAACCTCGTGAGACCTGAACAAGAAAGATATATTCATCAGACTTGACTCAATAATTGATAAAACAATAAAATAATTCACAATCTTATCTCAAACACTTGTACAATGAGATGGGATATACAAGTGTGCGAGGATTGGGGGTGTTTCGGGTTTTTAATTAATTGTAAAACCGATTCAATATCGTTACAGTATCATATATTAAATTAATGTATTTTGTTTTGTATCAAGTTAATTACAAAAAGTCAATATGTACAGTATTGTACTGTAGTGAACGCACTTGAATTGTGTACAATATTGTGAAGTACTCTGCAATTAATCCTCTCTACAAGTCATCTCAATATTCTTATCATTTAATCTTTCAGACCATTAAGAATAGTTGAATGTCTTAGAGTTGCATAATTTATTGTAATCATATGACATTTAATACTTTATATAAATTAATTACCGTTAATGAAGTTTTATTAATAGTTTAGCATTAATTAATAGGAACTAATTTGAAAGTGTGACACAGCCCTTTAGTAGTAAACTTTAACATAAATAAGTTATTTATTAAATAACACTGTAACACTTTGATGTAATTACAATTTCATGTTATGACATACAATTTGAAAGTATTTTGAAAACTAAATTTCAAGTATTTGATTGTATATCAAAGCACGTGTAAAATTGATTTGATTGTGAATGATTTGATTGGTTACTACTGTCGTATAGTTTTGATTGGATAACATCCTTGTTAATACATATACAACTTTGATATTGTAGCTAGAAAGCGTATATGACATATGTAACATTCTGTAGCTATATAACTAACATATTTTAACATTTGTTCAAATTATGATGAATCAATAGAACATAGTTAACATTACTTTGTTGTTAACTTATTTTAAGAGACAACCTGTCTATCATTGACATACACTATAAATTGTATTTTTAATTATTCTATTTAAATATTCATTTAGCTTCGAAATCACTATTGAAATTTGTACTTCATATTTTATTAATTATTATTATTTAATATTAAATAATTTTAATAAAATATTTGTGACTACAGAAAAATTTGACAAAGAATGAGCCCTAAAATCACCAAAAGTCCATTCATTGCCGTAAGACACTGTTACAACACGAAAATAAGAGTTTTGATACCAAATTTAATATAATACATTTATAGATAACCGACGATTTTCCCGGCTATGAATTGGAATCGTTTAATATAAACCCACATTTGGCTAATAATTTGGATCGGGTTTTAATTCCTGGAGGTTTTATACAGGATAGGTATACATTGACGACACTGAGACAGTGGTTACCATTTAATAGTAATGCATGTATTCTGTTGTATTGCAGAATCGAGCGCCTGGCGTGTGATATCGCTATAGATTTGGCCAATGAATCGTTTGTTGCCTTATGTGTCCTCAAAGGCGGTTATGTCTTCTTTAACGATCTCTTGGATAAAATCAGACATTTCTATAGATATCGTTACGCCAATACATCCCAAACTCCAAACGGTGTTCCAGACTTTGCCCAACAAATTAGAGTTGAATTCATAAGACTTAAGAGTTATGAAGACGAGAAGTCGACTTCAAATTTGAAAGTTATTGGAATCGAGTCATTGGAATCGCTCAGAGGAAAGGTATTCCTATTCATTTGAAAGACTAACTCATTTAATGATTGAATGCCTAAACTGAATGATTTGACGGTAGAATGTATTGATTGTGGAGGATATTATCGATACTGGAAATACAATGGTTAGACTTCTGGAACTCCTTAAAAAGTATGATTTGAAGTCCATTCGAGTGACCAGTCTTTTTGTGAAACGAACGCCTCTTAGCAATGGATACACTCCTGAATGTAAATCATTGACATTTTGCTTTGATTGACATTTATTTATTGATTAGATTATTGAAATCATTAAAACAGATGTTGGATTCAATATTCCCAATGAGTTCATCGTTGGCTGTAATATGGATTATAACGAATATTTTCGAGAACTTAATGTAAGCTATTAATAGGCAAATATATAATAGCTTTGATATTGGAGTAGAAGTAAATATAATTAAAATTATATTTATTTTATATTTATTTATAGCACGTCTGCGTTATGAACGAAATTGGGAAACAAAAGTATTCAATGAAAAACATTAAATAAGTGAAATAACATTAAAATAGTTTTCTTATCAACTATAATAAACAATATTTTATATGTTTATGTATTTTATATTGACTTTAATAAAAAGGAGTATTGTCGTACGAATGCTATTTTTATTTTAATCAATATTTCCAGACAATTAAACTACTGTACATTGTAGACAATATTTTTTGTACCGTAAATAGCGTAAAAATTAAGGTTTCAAATTTAACATTTCCAATTTAAATGAGCTATAAAATAATTGCTATAACTCTTATCCCATTAATGATTAAAATCATTTCTATAAATAGAGTTTGATTGAAAACATTAAAGAATATTTCATATATTTATGCAAACAGTATTTCAAATTATCTTTTAAATTGTATTAATGATCTTCAAATAATATGTATATTATTTTAATGATCTAGCTCATTAATTTAATTATTATATTATATCTCATCAGATAACTGAAAACACTCAATTTTAAATGTTTGTTTAATTTTAGTTCAATTCTGAAGTAGACTTACAATACAGTAATTGCAGCAATTATTTTTAAAATGTAGGTTTATGTCATAAATCCTTTATTAATGCGGTATTAATACTATTCAATTTTCAATGTTTGTTTAATTTTAGTTCAATTCTGAAGTAGACTTACAATACAGTAATTGCAGCAATTATTTTTAAAATGTAGGTTTATGTCATAAATCCTTTATTAATGCGGTATTAATACTATCGATACATCAGTTGTCAGTAAAATAATTTGTATTCTAAATTTAGACATAACTTTATTGATTATTACAAACAATCACTTGTTTGTACTTATGTTCACATAAAATATTATACTTACCAACTTGTAATATAATAAACTAAAATATTAAACCGTAATACAAATGTTTCATTTCCGTGCAAATCGCTGAAAAACATCTTAAAATAGATGAACAATAAGTTAAAATATATCACTTCTATTCAATCATTAAGAATTGTTTATAGTATTAAAAATCAAACAATATAATACATTATAAATTATAATTTATAATACATTAATATTATAATATAAGTATTCTCTTTCTAAAAGCAATCAATAATTTTCTATTATTATATGCTTAAAAGATTTTACCTTAATTTTATTGTATATTCAATTTTAAATGTTTGTTTAATTTTAGTTCAATTCTGAAGTAGACTTACAATACAGTAATTGCAGCAATTATTTTTAAAATGTAGGTTTATGTCATAAATCCTTTATTAATGCGGTATTAATACTACCGATACATCAGTTGTCAGTAAATTAATTTGTATTCTAAATTTAGACATAACTTTATTGATTATTACAAACAATCACTTGTTTGTACTTATGTTCACATAAAATATTATACTTACCAACTTGTAATATAATAAACTAAAATATTAAACCATAATACAAATGTTTCATTTCCGTGCAAATCGCTGAAAATTGAAAGTTAAAATATATCACTTGTAAGATGTTTTTCCATTCAATCATTAAGAATTGTTTATACAGTAGTATTAAAAATCAAACATTATAATACATTATAAATTATAATTTATAATACATTAATATTATAATATAAGTATTCTCTTTCTAAAAGCAATCAATAATTTTCTATTATTATATGCTTAAAAGATTTTACCTTAATTTTATTGTATAAAATTGTTTACTTTATTTCTTGATGAATAGCTATAATAAATCAAATAACGCGATATCTTTTCATAAATTTGTATTTATTGTATAGAATATGATTGAAAAGCAATGAATTAAAAAATTCAATCTTTATTTTCATAAGTAATAAGACTTAATAAAAAATTATCTAAAATTTGTTGAGAATATAAAGAAGATACAGTTTATATAAAATATATAACTAATACTAAAATTGAATAAAAATATAATCAAATAGATGAGATATAGAATTCTCTATTAAGTCTCTTAGAAAAATATTTACTAACAGATTGAATGCATAATATTTTAATAATAATGTCATAAGAATCCATAAATAATTGTTTGCTTAATATTCTGATTACCGAAAAAAATAAAATTAAAAATATTGGTAACTTTAAAAGTTAACTATATTTAACAAAAACTTTTGATTCATTTCACAGATATTTCCCATTAATGGAAACGTCAGTAACTATTCAATTAATATATCACATGAACTGACGAATCGTTTTTAAGCAAAAGACCAATGAATCAAAACTTGTGGACATTTCCTCCATTGCCTTAAAGCATAAGAACTCGAATAGGATTAACATATTTTGAGCTAAACTTTTTTGGCAGAAAAACATTAACTCAACGACAGCTCAAATGAATATTGAAATAAATCTTATGAATTAAAATAACAGTATATTTCACACTATTATTCAAACTTAATATTCATTATCGGAAGCGTCGGAAACGCTTTGATTTGCATAATCGACGAGCGCGTCGTTCGCATTCACGTCACAAATGAGTTGATTATTGTTATTATTATTGATAATCAAATCATTATTATTAATGCATTTATTCATCCACTTGTCCTTATGCTGCTCCAGACCAAAGCCCTCATCATAATTGCCTTTTTCCATAAATAGTTGTTTGAAATGTGGAATACAGTACAACTTGTCGGCAGTTATCGTGAAGTTATCTAATCTGTAGG